TTTTTTTTTTTTTTTTCCACAATAAACTATAATAGCCAAAGTAAGGAAAAAAAAATGCCTGGGCTGAAATCACCACATAGCAAAGACTGATGGTTTCCTTCTAGCCTTCCCTAGTATGAACCAGGTTAGGTTAAGGAAATCTAGGAAAACCACTCTTTGGGAAAGGGCCTTTTAAATACTTTAATTTGGTCTTATTTCAAAACTGTACGAGGAGTTGCAGCATAAAATGAAGGAAGCCAATGAGGAGATTTCGCTTACCAAGAACTTGGAATCCATTTCCGCTGTCATTAGCACAATCCCCTTTTCCTTCTGCAGCTCAGGATAATGGTACAAAACCAACTGGCTGGGAGAAGCTTCACCTTGGGTCTGAAAGAGATAAACCTGTCAGCATCCCATAAAGAACTTCTGTCCCAGATTCAGGGGCTTGTTTACAAAACTTTGAGTATTAATTGCTATGGAGGCAGTAATTTATCAGGGCTTACAGGTCAGTTCTAATTAAAAGTTCATTATTCCTGGTATTTACAGAAAACAAGGGATTTGCAGAGTTAGGTTGGGGTTCTTTTCATTACTAAAGACCATTTTGCACTTAAAAGAACCTGCAATTTTAGAAAGACACTTCATTTTATAACATCTACTGGTATGTTAAGCAGCTTGCACAAACAGTTCTGGAAAGTTTGGCTCTCACTTTCGAGACTTTGACTTTTACCTCATTCTACTTTAGATTGGAGAGACACTTAATACCCATACATTTGCTAATTTACCCAAAATTAATTGCAGTTTTTCCCTGAGAAGTCTTTTCACGTTAAGATAGACAACCTGTTTGTTAAACTACCTAGCAAATATTATATATTGCAATATGCTGATATTACCTATTTCTGGATCGTAAGCCCTTTTTGGAATTTTATTTCAACCACTCACCTGAACGTTTATTAGGGAAGTGAAATGCAATTCCTTTCCTGACCACTGCCCCACGAAGAACTCATAGCCTTCTTTTCTTGGCAAAGCATATAGAAACTGCAGAGAAATTATTAGAAAAATAGTAATTCTCCCTTTCCTCAAATAAAATCATGTCTATGGCACACCGGCCCCCAGTACAAAATGCTTTAGTCAAAGAACCACAACAGAAAAAAAGAGTTTCTTTGCCCCACCAGGACAGTAGGAACCAGACTTCAAAGCAGAAAATAAACCAGCATTACCTTATTGGTATTATTTCATTAGCAAATGTGTTGGCACAGAGTTTTATCAGTATTACATGGGACAGACAAAAGAAAGGAAAGGACAGTGGAGAACGTTCCAACTCTGATCTTTATGTTCACTTCTAGAAAATTAACAGCAAAAATGGTCAAATGTAAGATAAGGAGCATTCAGAGGATTTCATCCTGTAGTTTCACCAACAGTTCCAGAACGGGCAGTAAGCATTTTCTCTCCAGAGATTGACACTCTATTCAGCTCCTTAGGCTAGGGACTTGCTAATTTTCCCATATCAAGAGAAAGGACAATGTGGGAGCAGAAAAACATGCAGGATGTCTGACTAAATGCCAATGCACTCTATAGAAATGCACTTAAAGCTAGAAATAACTTTCCATACTCCAAGTAGCTTGGGAAGCCAGATATATTTTGTCTTGCTCTTAGCAAGTGAAATACATAGGATCAATCCATCAATTCAGTAAAGACTCTCATTCAGATCTACAAAAGCACTCCTCTCAGCGCAGCAAAGTCTAGCTACTTTGTTTTCATAACGGAATGAAGCGTTTCATTTCTGCCTCAGTACAGTGAAATGTGCACAAAGTCGAAGCTTTATCACAGAAATTACTGCAAAACCACGTTACTTTCAGCGGAAAACCACACTAATCCAGCAGCATGCACTACGAAACTGGAGAAAGATCTCTTTAGCTTGTGAGCTGTTCTGCTTTGCTCTTTCGCAGCTTAACTTCTTCAAAGCAACCACGTGCTCATTTACACAGGAATCTTCCAATCAAAGCTTGGAGAAACATGGGAGAAACAGTGAACCCAAATTCTGGAAATCTACTTGTTTCTGAAATAACCATATTACACATCATTCTCAGTATTTTAAGCTTTGCGATGCTGGCACACACCTTAGACAGAACCCACAGAGTATTTTCTCTGTATCTGTAATGAAGAGTTCAACTACACCCAATTCCCCCCATTCCTTCTCATCACAGCTGTTGAATTAAACAGTCTGAAAGGGAACTTACTAAGTTTTGCTGTGCATGCTACATAGTCGTCTTTTTGGACAACTCACTCCCCCTTAAATCTACTCGTTTCTGAAATAACCGTACTACATTCTCAGTATTTTAAGCTTTGCCATGCCGGCACACACCTTAGACACAACCTACAGAGTATTTTCTCTGTATCTGTAATAAAGAGTTCAACTACACCCAATTCCCCCCATTCCTTCTCATCACAGCTGTTGAATTAAACAGTCTGAAAGGGAACTTACTAAGTTTTGCTGTGCATGCTACATAGTCGTCTTTTTGGACAACTCACTCCCCCTTACAGGCAGAGGTGTGTTACTGACACAGCACAGTTCATGCCCAGTATAACTTCCATGCAAATAACTCCTGTAAGCTTCCCAACATTCACCTATCCCAGATCACCGGCGTGGTGAAGAAAGCACCGCTGTGCATGTGCAAGAGACGGAAAAGCGGGCTGAAGGATGACAAGGTTCACCTCCTTTTGTGGACACAACCTCAATCTACTGGTTTCTCTTTTTTCCCTTTCAGATACTCCTGCCTGTCTCCACTGCCAGCAAAGAAACATAAAAGGGAAAGGGAGCAACTCACACAGGAGAGTCAAAAGTTCATGAATTCAGCTTTAGAGAGGAGACATATATTACAGCTATACATCCATGTGCTACGAGTCTCTGCCATACGTACCGATGGACATTTCTGGGCTCTCTTCCATATTAAATCAAACTTGTCTGCCTTTAGGGAAAAAGAAAGAGAAATTAAGTTTTCATAAGGCAAACATGGATGCACAGACATTCAGAATCATCTCATTAACCTTTAGAGGGCCACTTCCAGGTACAGAAAGTCTCACTGCGGGAACAGCTCACAGTTGAGTGTGTGGAAAACTGTATTTACTTCTCAGCTAGCTAAATGTCATCTGTATCCCAGTTTATGAACGCTGTCTCTAAGATGACAAACTCCTTGGAACTAAAGATTTATTCCTTGGAGGTGGGAGGCCCATGCTTCAGGCTTACATTACATGTCCTTTCAGTAATAGCTCCACTGCATCATGTGGTGTCAATAGTTGAGCAAGAGGACGTATCCCCGGCCCCAAATTGGGGATTTTACACGACAGTCATCTGCTATTCAGTCATGAATGTCACCTAGATATTTACATACTTATTGCTTAGGTTTATATTAAAACCACCAACATATTTGGTCATCCCTGATGAATCCTAGCAACCTCATTCATGCCGTCTCTGCACTTCCCCCAAATCTTCTGCCTGCTCCTCTCTTCCCAGCAGCATATATTAACACCTACTCTAAGGTGTTGAGGAAAGAAAACATACGCCCTTCATCAACACAAAATTCCTCCGTGTGTGCTTTTGAGCACTCAAGAATTACGCAAGGCCTTTCCCCCAGCCAGCAAAAAGCTGCTGGCAAAAGACATAAGGGTTTTTCCTCCCCTTGATGACACCACGAACTACTTCCTTACGTGCCTGGGATCTGGTTTGCATTAAAGCCTTAAAAGCTTCCAAAGCCCCTCTACAACAGTGCACCAAAGAACAGTGCCAGCCCTGCTAACGACAGACCTGCACGACCTTAACTGGAGCCCCTGACTTTGGCACTCTGCTACAGCAAACGCACGATTCAAACTATTTTCATGACATTCACATGTTGCGAAAACTGAAAATCAAAGCTGCCCGACTTCAAATCCCACGTTGACACTTTCAGAGGATGCAGCAGCTCGTATATTTAGAGAACAGCCTCCTGCTGACCTCAGCTGCAGCTCAAAGGGCCAAGTGCAATTGCAAATCAGACCCCAGATCTAAACGAGGTTTCAAGAACTCAAGGAACACACAGTTTGTGCCGAGCTGTGAAAAGATAGATTTACGAGATCACAGTCAATAGAGACTCTGAGGTAAAGGATAAAAAGAAATCCCAAAAGCAAAAAAAATCCAACAAACCCCAAACAAAAAAACTTCAGCCTAATGCTGATTAATGACAATCAACATCTGGTAAAGTTACCAGGAATTAAAAGCATGATCTTATCACAGGAAGCACCATGCAATCTCAATGAAACACAGCGCTGCCGATCATTTTAAATGTAGGAAAGTAAGTCACAAGTGCTTAGCCACAGGCAAGTTACAAGCCAAGTGCTCTGTACTTCCATATTAACATGAGTTAGCTGCTCATGCTGCAGGGAAGAGGGAAAAGAAATGAGCAACTCTGAGACAAAAAAATGATGAGAAAATACAAATGCTATTTTAGTATCTACTAGGGCGCTGCAAAAAGTATTGGATATTCGCCTGGAAATTGAAGCCATGTGTGCAGAAAAAAAGGCAGCAGTTTTATTGAGACTGATGTAAGTGAGAAAAAGGCTTTGGAACCAAAAGCCTTTATGTGGGGCAATAATATCCCTCAACCCTCAAAGAAAGTTTGTTCTTGAAACCTCATTTTCCTTCTGTGCTAGCTTTAAAAAGCAACAGAATCACAGACAGAAAGGAAAGCTTTGCACACTGACCTTTTGAGCGTGTAACTACAGGGGAACTACTTACAGGAATAACAGCATAAACTGTATCTTTTGCAGAAAAATACTGATTCCAAATCTGTAGGTAACAAAGGAGATGAGATACGGTTAAAATCAAGCATCTAGCAGTAATATTAAATGCTTTTAAAAAGAATTCCTTTCTAAGCACTTTGAGAAGTCATTTTTCAATCAAGCCTGACTGACTTGCCTGCTACTGCAATAAGATTCCAGAGTACTTGTACCAAATGACAGATTTCAACTGGGTAACATGAATACACAGTGGACTCGGAAGTGGGTTAGGATTTACAACTCATCGGAAGTGCTTCTTCCATTTTTCACAACAGTCATGCTAATGATTTCAAGAGGGCCTGAGTTTAACAAAGAACATACAAAACATTTTCAAGAGAAGGCAAGTCTTTGCATAACGCTCCTCTCTGCTCACAGTCTTTTTCTTCACCACAGCAGGATGGCGATTCCTATATAAAAGCTCAAAGTCACAGAATCACAGAAT